ATATATATATATATATATCGTAAACATATATACATGTCTAATTCTGAACAATTCTATATATATATATATATACATAGTATGACACATACGCATCTACCAAACTACGGGTTCGACGGGTGGGCACATGTAGACCAGGAAAAGTTTCCAGAACCCCAAACCCAGACCCGAGAACCTTAGATTCTTTTCGTAGCAACGAAAAGCAGCCAACCCTAAACGGCAAAAGCCAAACTCCCCAAAACCACCAAATCCTACAAACCTAAACCCCTAAATCATCCTAAATCCTGAAACCCTACAGACCCTACAAACATCTATAAGCCAATGCACCGAAACCCTAAACCATAAAACCCTCAACCCTACAATATCCTAGAAACCCTAAAGCCGAAAACCCTTTTCTGTTGCCAAAGTGCAGTCGTCGCGTACCAGGAACCTCGCCTAGGCTCGTCCGAGAGTGAGTGCTGAAAGCCGACAACCTAAACCCAGAACCCTAAGCATCCGTAAGCTTCTCCAGGCAGTGGGTTTGACCGGCCCTCCGCCGCCGGAGGTCCTCCGGAGCCTCGCGCCCCCTGAGGAGGCCGGGTTTTAGGGTTTAGGGTTTAGGGTATAGGGTTTAGCGTTTAGGGATCTACCTATGGGTAGTTCTCTAAATTAGGATCCGTTTTTAGGTCCCCAATATAGTGCGGTACCCTTAAAAAAAGGACCCGACCCTAATTTTGAGAACTACCCCTATAGTCTCCATTGTAGTTCCCTTTTTTGGTTTAACCATATTATTATATGTTGAGGTTTTTATAAGGTATCACCAAAAAGGAACTATGCTAGAAGATACTTTGATGTATTGTATACCGACCTGTATCAAATTGTATAATAACTAGCTATAGTGCATTATTATATGTTCCAAAGACTGGCCTTTAGTCCTGAAGCTGGACAAGTAAGTCGGTCTAGTTGGTAATGCTAAGGCTATTGCTAAGTCTTCCTGAATACACGTACGTATCCTACGTCCCCGCAATTGCTAAGGTTGCCTGAATACACGTACTGTGCGTATCCTATATCCCCGCAAACATGGTTCAAATGGTTTTGGCCCTTACATTGTACATAGGTTTGTTAATGTAGTATGATTAGAATTGATAAGAAAATGAATGAAGTTTTACATCCTGGGCCCGGGCCCGGGACCAGCCGCCGGCAGCGGACTTGACCAAAACCGACCAGGACCCCGAAAGATGCCATGATCTCCCCGCGGGACCCCGCGGCCCCCGGAACCAGCCGCTGGCAGCCGACCCCGGGATGTCGCAGCTCCGGACCCCGCGCATGAGTGTGGCGCCCACCTGATAGATGTATAATCCCGTCTGTCGCACAAAAGTTTGTTACCACAGGGCTACGATTTCGCACCCCCTCATTTCCGACCCCCCCCCGGAACCGACCCCCCCGCGGGACCCCGCGGCCCCGGGACCAGCCGACGGCAGCGGACTTAACCAAAACCGACCAGGACCCCGCGGAGCGACCGGACCTCAAAAATTAATGATGTTTAGTTTGATGATCCCCCCCCCGCGGGACCCCGCGAGGTTTAACTGGGCTTCACAGTTGCTACATATGACCGACATGAGTGCTCGCACTTCTGTCATGCGTACCAGTGTTTCGAAGCGTTGGTTTTGGACAGGTTAACAGACCAACTTTCACCGCCTTTGTATGGTCTTGGCCCAGGCAGTATTGCGCCAGTATGTAGACTGGCAAAGAAGTTGTTAGCTAGCGATGTTGTTGCTTGTAATGACCGTAAATCGTTTTTACGACTTTCGAAAGCATGGTTATTCTTGCTGTTACTAGTGTCAACGTTGTATTCTGCTGGCACCTCCCTGATTGTATTTCTACGGGTCCATCAGTGTTTGCCGTGAGCGTGGGAGTTCAGCTTGAGGGCGACAGTCTTCAGGGTTCGTGTTTTCAAAAGTTCGCGCCTGTAGTGGGCACAGACTGGAGACGCCCAGCACATCGCTTCTGGATTCGAATGTGGTCAACTTCAACATGACTTCAAGTCTAGAATCGAGCCCTTCTGTTGTGGACAGCTGTTCGGGGAGATGTGACATGGATCTGCAGTAGCGGAACATGGACCTTTTCTGTGCAAAGGCTCAGTTGGAGACATTTCTTGACCCCAGTATTCTTGGTGTGTGGAGCAGGGACAAGTTTGACAGTGTGCCTGTGCTCAGACCCTGGCCCTAAACAACCCTTAGCTCAACAGCGCCAAAGTCCTCTCAACGGAGGCCACCACATCCCACCACCGTAACTAAACAATGCCCAGCTTAATTTCTCCACACTCCAAGCTCCGTCAAAAGGATGACGAGGAAGAGGAGGAGGAGGAGACGCTGGAAGAGAACGAAGCTACGGAGTCGGTGAGGCTCGTGGGGCCATTCCATTCGGTGGCGGCCGTGTTTGGTTTGCTTTTAGGCTCTGAGACTTAGACTCAGGAGGACGAGTTTCGAGTTTGTGTGCTTTGCAGAGCTCAAAGCGCAGTACGCAGGGTCAGGCTTCAATTTGCAGCAGAAGCAGGTTGACTTCTGCACTTCCTTATAGCCACAAAGCACCAAAGCGCAACCCGAAACCGGAAAATCCAAACCTGCCTCTCTGAAGCAGAAGATGTCGAGAGTCGCACCCGATACTGGCCGAAGCCTCTCCGAAGTCTGAGCCAACAGAGCAGGATCTTTGCAAGTATCACTCGTTGGCGTAGGTCCGTGTACAGCACCACTTGCATAAACGGATATGACCAAAAGACTGCATATGTATGTTCATATGTATGTCTGGGATTGTCTGGGCAAAGAAATGAGTAATTCCGGGTTGGGATGTTCAGGTCGGTGTTGCTTCATTGGATGTAGGGATGCGGAGTTTCAGTGCGGGTAGGGCTCAGCGTTTGGGCTTCAAGGCAGGCACATGAAGGCTTAAAGTCTCCTAGCCAGCCTAGCACACCCCCGGTTGCAACAAGAACTAACAGGTCCAGGACAAAAGAGCCGACATCACCGACGAGCCCCAAGATTGTGGAGGCCTTTGGGTCTTCGTGCTTCGAGTTCCGACAGCTCCGAATCAGGTCAGGTAGTCAGCACTCGTCTAAAGTTTAGGGTTTAGGGTTTTGGGGTTTAGGGTTTAGGCTTAGTGCATTGCAGTCCCCGCTCAAAAAAAGGGTTTGGGGTTGAGGGTTTATAGGGGTTTAGGGGTTTGGGGTTTAGGGTTTACCGAGCCTGCTTTTGAGGTGTGTTCGCTGGCACACAATCCAAGCCCATGCTGAAAAAGGGTTGAGCGAGCATGCGCCCACAGTCGCTAGGAGCTCGCCAGCCTGCGCTGGGAAGTGCAGCAGGGGCAGAGGACGTCGTTCGTTGCATGTAGGAAACGTATTAAGTGCTATGCAAAGTGGCAGCAGTGCTTATTTCTGGACTGTTTGTGCTCGTATCGAGATATGAGATGAGGTCAAAATTATCGT